ATTATTATTTTTATTTTATGTGTATGCCTGTATTGCTTGCATGTAGGTAAGTGCAACTGTGTCGTGCAATGCCTGCAGAGGTCCGAAGAGGCTGTTGGATCCCCTGGGACTGGAGTTATGGACAGTTGTTAGCTGCCATGTGGATCCTGGGATTCGAACCTGGGTCTTCTGCAAGAACAACCAGTGTTCTTAACTGCTGAGCCACTCTCCAACCCCTACCTCTTATTTTTAATTTTTAAATTTATTTTAAAATTTTATTTATGAGTGTTTTGTCTGCATGTATGTAAGTGCACCATGTGCATACAGTACCTATAGATACCAGACGAGGGCACTGAATCCATTGAAACTGGATTTATGGACTGTTGTGAGCAACCATGTGGGTGCTGAGAACCAAATCCTGGTCCTCTGTAAGAGCAGCAAGTAGTCCTAACCCCTGAGCAATTTCTCCAGCCCCCTAATTCTACCTTTTACCTGCCCAAGTTAGGCCACTATCAACACCTGCCTGGACCACCATGACTGCCTCCTAGTCTCTCACCATATTCTATTTTAATCTTTCCTCCATATAGTAGCCAGAGTAACAATTCTCATGTGAAAATTCTGATTATATCACTCACTCAATATCCATCAGTAGTTTTAATTGCCTTGGGATAAACTGTAGACTCTGTCACATCACAGCCCACAGGGCCCCAGAAGCTTAGTCCTTAACACATGCTGTTCCCTCTGTACTATTCTTCCATCCCTCCCCTATCTCTGACAGGCATTCTCTGTACCTTGCTGACTCCCTCATCAGGGATTAATTTAAATAACACCTGGACCAGGAAGCTGCCCATGATTTCAGCCTCCAGATGAATTCAGGTGTCAATGTCACACATTCCCATCCATTCCCAGGCAGCATGCTTGTCAGGCTTAATAGCCATTGCTTGTTTAATTGTCCAGGGTCTAGTGATACACTGTAAACTACATGAGGTCAGAAGCCTTCTCTTGTTCATCATTATGTCCTATGATAATAAATCTGGCCACTAGTCAATTAAAATGTGTTTATAGAATGGATGAAGAACGGATGAATGAATAGACAGGTGCAAAAGAATGACACTTCCTCTGTAATGCCTTCCTAGAGTCCTTTGGGCTGGCCATTCTTCATCTGTGCGTCATAACACCTCAGAGAAACCTCTACTCAAATCTAGATTCCTCGGCCATAAAATGAGACAAAAAACAGTGTCTGCCTCAAGGTTTGTACTATTAAGACATGTGTAACACTAAAACCATCATAATCAATTGTGAAACTTAGAGAAGGGAATCCACATAAAATGCTTAGAATGCATTTAGTAAGTACTCAAAACAAAGGAACAAAAAACATTGGGTACAATAATTACCATAGCATTTATAATTTCTTTCTACTTCTGCCTCCTCCCAAACAGTGGTCCTGAGTTCTTTTCTTTGGTAGATCACTACCACCTTGCAGTGCCCAGCTAGGTGTCTTCTGTCAGCGCAGAAACAAATGAGCACATATTTGCCAGCTACTGAGTCAAGGCACAGCACCCCCTTCATTACAAGCCCGACACCACTAGCACAGTCTCTTACACTTTCACACCCACACACATTCATTCAGAGCACCTCCAAACACCAAGGAAAAGCCACTCAGTTTCCTAAACCCAGGCATGCATGAGTTAGGAGGCCTGTACTCCTTTCCCTGTGCCGTCCCCAATCCACACCAGCACTCAGGATCCAGCCCCACCACTAAAATGATGGGGGTTACAGCCTACAGTAGGAATGACCCCTCACTCACAAGGGGAAAATCAAAGCCAGAGCTTTAGCCTCAGCCATTGCAGGATTCCAGCTGCAGATGCCCTCCCAGCAGAAGCCTCCCTCCAGGCCCTTCCTGGACATCTAGGGCCCTGGCATTAGCCCATAGTTCAGAAGAGGTCTGGGAGCCCTGGGGCTGGCACTAACCTGTAATCTCAGCAATTAAGAGGTTTAGACAGGAAGAATATAGATTTCAGGTCAGCCTGGGTTACATAAGAAGACCCTGTCTTTTTTTTTTTTTTTTTGGTTTTTTTGAGACAGGGTCTCCCTGTAGCCCCAGCTGTCCTGGAACTCACTATGTAGACCAGGCTGGCCTCGAACTCACAGAGATCCACCTGCCTCTGCCTCCCAAGTGCTGGGATTAAAGGAGTGCGCCACCAAGCCCGGCTCAAGACCCTCTCTTAAGTGGAGAGAATAAAAAGGACAGATGAAAGGGAAAGAAGGCCAGTAAGATGGCTCATAGGGTAAAGCACTCACATACAATGCCAGGCCACCTGAGTTAGACCCCCAGAAGCAGCAATGAAGATCAAAGGAAGGGGAGAACCAACTCCACAGAGTTGTTCTCTGACCTCCAAATGTGGCCCGTGGCATGTGTGCCCACATGCATACATCATGCACACGAAATAAGAAAAAATTAGAAAAAGAGAGCTCTACAGACAGAGGTGTACCTGGGAGCCCAAACTCCAGACTTCCATAATCTCTCATGGCTGGCCTTGTGAACCTGGAAGCCCATTGCCCTCTCCTAACCCAAACACAACAGTGTTCAGGAAAATGACCACACAACACCAAGGAGACTCAGGCCTGGGGTGGTGAGGGGCGTTCTTAGACTTGAGGTGAAATAATTATATTAACTACTAAGACCCAGCCTTTTATTTACATTATATCTCATTTAATCCTCACCACCACTCTTTTTCCAGAGGAGGGCACTGGAGGTATGCAGGTAAAATCAGGTAAAATCACGAGGTGATTGGCACCCTGTTCATTAATTCCAGAACCTTGGATCAGGTTTTTGAGAATGGAGAAAACCTGGGGAAGCCTTTAGGAATTAAAATGGGGAGACGCCCTCAGTGTAGCACCCTCTTAGCCCAAACCAGTTGACCCCAGTCAAGGGGTGCTGAGCGGCACATAAGAGGACGGTATTTTTGGGGGCCGTAGCGCGAGCCCAGGGGAGGAGCCCAGGGCCTGAAGGCGGTGGCCCAGGCTCAAAGGCCAAGATGGCTGTTAATTAAAGTGCTGGCACCAGCTCCTTTCTGCAAAGTTTGAAGCCGTTATTTTCCACTCCAGCGAAGCGGGGAGAATCCGGCTGCGCTGGCAGAGACGCCACACCGCGCTAGGGGAGCCGGCGCGCTTCGGGGCGAGGGGCGGAGCGTGATGGCGCTGCGAGCAGGTCCCTACGACGCCCCGGCGAGCGCTGGGGTGGTGGCTCCCGCCCTGTGCTCCACGCGAGCGGGCTGCCGGCTTCTCTCGCAGGCCCAGCCACAGCTGCAGGCTGCCAACGACACCAGCCGCCTAGTGCACGAGGAGCTCGCGTGCGCGTCCTGGAGGGTGGAGGTCTGCACAAACCATACTCCAAATGACCATGCACTTGGCCCTCGGGGGTCACCACCCCGTGGCTCTAAAGGGAAGCACACTAAAGAAACTGCCCCCCCCCCCCCCCCCGAATCCCAGGCAGGAGAGCCGAGCGCTTTGGGCTACCTGGCCTAAGCAGCTGCCCTAAGCATCCTCGCAGCATCCTACACTTAAAAGTCCCCAGAGACTCCATCGCACTGAGGTTGGAAGAGCTTTGGGAAACAGGCCGCGGGTTTGAATCTCAGCTCCGCCATTTCTTACTTTTTTGACTTGGGGCAAATCTCTTAACTTTGCAGAGCCTCCGTTCTCCATCTGTAAAATGAGAATAAAGATGGGCTTTATTTCTAGATTTCTATGAAGATCAAAGGTGGTTCAACATGCAAAGCGCTCAACATGATTTGTTTGTTTTAGCTGCCCCCTCCTTGGTGCTGGATGTCATTATTACTTAGATTAGGACTTGAAAGGGCAGTCTCAGCTTTAGGTAGGGACTGTCAGAGAATCATAAGGATGACAGGAGGTCAGCAGGGAGAGGGTGAGCCGGGAGGAGTCCTGCAGGAGAGGAGAGTGACGCTGGAGTGTCATTGTTTAGAGTGGCCAGAGGTTTTCAAAAGGCAGAGCCCTCCCCTGGATGGAGGAGGGTGATGGGGGAACAGTGCAGTAGCTGGAGCTGGGCCTCAAACATTATGACAAACATTTTGATGGAAGGAGACACATTTCAGTTTATGCAATCTAAACACTTTACTGCACTCGAGGAAGAGGAGAGCACTCAAACGACCTGATGGGCAGAAGGGTTAGGGGAGCCCTCAGGGGCTAGGAGAGATCAGCCCCTCCTCTTGGTCGCTAGAAAAGTGTACACTGGTCAGGAGGGATAAATACCATAGGGGGTGGGGGACACCTCACCTTCTTAGGGTCCTTATTTCTCCCTTGTCCAGAAGCAGGGATCAGAGGAAAACGGAGGAGAGAGGCCCCCAGGTAAAGGCAACCTCGAAGAAGAGGTTGAAGATACTGGCTTTCCTGGGAGAAGGTGACCCCTAACACTTGAAACCAGAAAAGATGAAGCGGTTGCTATCAGAATTCAGGGGTCCCTCTGAGCAACCTAAAAGCAAAGGATCCAGTCTGGTGATATAGATGCTAGGTCTTGGAACAGACGGAATGCCCCCTCCCTAATTCTTCCCTCAAATTCCCCTTTCTGCTCCTGCCCTCTTGCTCCCCATTTTGTACCCACCCCTCAATCACTCTCTTGCGCCCCTCAAGTTACAGGGTCCTGTATGTGGAAGTGGGCCCTTTGCTGGCCTGTAACCGTTTTCCTCGTGACTGACCCTCGGGACGTCTCTCCTGAAGCCACTTTGAACTCCCTTGCGCTTGCTCTTTGGTCCCTTCCCTCTGGGATCCTCCTTGTTTATCAGACTCTAGTCCCCTTTCCATTCCCCAGCCTCAGTCTCCCCCTACACACCCTCATCTCCTAAGCGCCGCCCCCTCTCTGCCCCTCCCACGCCAAGGCGCCCGCGGCCCAATTAGGCGCCGGGCCAGTCCGCAGCCCCACCCCTCGCCCTCTCTGAGCCGCGCTAGCGGGTGGGGCGGGGCCCAACGGAGGGGGCGGTGGCCCGAGCGCTGGGAGGCGGGAGGAACTGGGCGGGAGGCGGGAGGTGGCGGCCGTGGCGTTCAGTCCGGCAACGCAGCGGGAGGGAAGCACGAGGCAGGAGCCGGAGGCTGGGCTCCGTAGCGCTAGCAGCGCAGCCGGCGCCCGGGGCCCGGCCCCATGCCCGCAGCCCCGCCGGACCGCCCTTGAGCGCGGGCGTCCTGCCGGCGCCCCCCGCCCGCCGGCACCATTGCCCCGACGGCGCGGCCGGGTGGCCCGGCGCTTCCCAGGCTCCGCGCCGGCCGGAAGACGCTGCTGGCAGCTGCCGCGGGCGTGGTCATGCTGTTGGTGCTGGTGGTACTCATCCCGGTGCTGGTGAGCTCCGGCGGCCCGGACGGCCACTATGAGATGCTGGGCACCTGCCGTATGGTGTGCGACCCCTACCCTGCGCGGGGCCCCGGCACCGGCGCGCGGCCCGACGGCGGCGACTCTCTGAGCGAGCAGAGCGGTGCGCCCCCACCCTCCACGCTGGTGCAGGGCCCCCAGGGGAAGCCGGGACGCACCGGCAAGCCGGGTCCCCCCGGACCTCCGGGGGACCGCGGTCCTCCGGGTCCTGTGGGGCCGCCGGGGGAGAAGGGTGAGCCAGGCAAGCCGGGCCCTCCTGGTCTCCCGGGTTCAGGAGGCAGCGGCGCCATCAGCACGGCCACCTATACCACAGTGCCACGCGTGGCCTTCTACGCCGGCCTCAAGAACCCTCATGAGGGTTACGAGGTGCTCAAGTTTGACGACGTGGTCACCAACCTAGGCAACAACTACGATGCGGCCAGCGGCAAGTTTACATGCAACATTCCTGGCACCTACTTTTTCACCTACCATGTCCTCATGCGCGGCGGCGACGGCACCAGTATGTGGGCGGACCTCTGCAAGAACGGCCAGGTGGGCCATGAGGGGGCATGGGGCTGACCTGGGGGCAGGGCACCCAGGGAGCCCCGGGAGAATGCGTATTGGATTAGAGTCGATAGGCACGCCAGGCAGGAGTAGAGACCCCAAAGCGGCCCCCTTAACTATGACAGGAAGGATAATTGTAATTAGCGTCCATCCTTGATTCCCCAGTCCTTGGGCTCCAGCTCTAAGGCAAATGCTATTGAATACCCGCCGCATTGAAATGCGAAAAGATAAACCCAAGTAGTCAGATCATAGGGCTCTGGGGCGCGCTGACTGGTGCTTGGGGGAGGCTGATTCGGGCTGTTTGCACTTGAGGGCTGAGATTCAGGCAGACGCCAACTGGCGATAAAGGAACAGCAGAGATGGGCTTTGGGGCACCGGGTAGGGAGAGGCAGCTTCTGCGCCCTCCGGCTGTGCGCACAAAAGGAGAAGGCGGGCTGCAGGAAATGTTTTGGGTACAAAGGCAGAGGGAGTGCTGTGCCCAAGAATCTTAGCTGAAGTACATCCCCGGCACTAGAGGAGGGCTGATCTGTTACCCTTTGCAAAATCCCGGGAATGCACAGCCTTCTCCAACACTGTACAAGAAGGCAGCCTCCCGGGAAAGTTTTCCTCCAGAGGCGGGGCAAAGAGATGGAAACTCCTCTCCTTAAGATCTTCAGGTCCAACTCTTCACTCGCCTAGAAGGTAGTGGGGGTGGGGAGAGTCCGCTATTCTCCAGAGTGCTTAGGGACTCCGAGACTGGGACCTCAGATGAGCAGGGCTGTCCTTGGAAACACCCACCCGGGATTAGCCTCTATCCAGTCTTGCCCTAGCGCCAACAACCTAACCCAGCCCCCTCTGTTCCTAGTGCTCCCACCTCTCTAGCTTGGGGCTCCAGGGGGTGTGGTCAGGCTGAGCATTCTCTTAGAAGGAGGGGCCCCTGGCTAGAACTAAGGCTAGGATGGTGGGAGTTGGAAGGAATCTTCTGAAGTTGAGACCCCAGCCCTTCTAGGAGCTCCTTCCACAGCAGCACTACCCTGCTTTGGGATCTGCAAAGTTTGGAGAGAGGGGAATGGCAGAAAGCCTATCACCTTGGAAGTCTGTCCTCCCCTTTTTTCTTTCTCCTTCCATCTCTCCCACCCCCAACTCCAGTTTCTGTCTCTGTCTCTTGACCATCTCTTATTGGAATTTGCCATTCCTTTCCATCTCTCTCCTCTGGGTCCAGCCCCCTCTATTTGCTGTATCTCTCTCCCATTTGTGTCTATCAGGCTTCCTAGTGTCTCTCCTCTTTGTCCTTGGTTCCTGACCAAACGGGACGCACCAGCATCCAGCAAAGGCTCTTTTTGCAGACAGCCCAACAGTTCCTCTTATTAATTACCAATAAGGGATACAGCAATGTCACCTTCTTTGGTGGAATTTCTTATTTCCTCGAAGAAAGTTTGAGGTGGCCCAAAGCTGATGTTTCTGGGACTAGGGGCTTGCTGGGAAAGAAGAGCAGTCACTAGGCCCTAGACACTGCAGCAGCAGAGGATGTCACAGAGGGATCCAGCAGTAAAGCAAGAGGAGGCCCCAAAGATAGAATGAGCTTGATGTGGGGCCACTTGCTTTAGTCACTTGGAGGTAAAGCCATTCCTTACCTTACCCTCCAGCAGAACCAGGGTGTTGGCAGAGCCTGATGAAGGGGGGCTTACAGAAGGGGGGATCACAGGCTGCTAGAGGCCCACTGGAAGAATCTCTTTAGGGGTTTTAAAGACTCACCACATTAATGGTTATTCGTCAAATAAACCTCTCCAAAAATATAAAAAAATAAAAACAACAATGGGGCCAGCAGCCTCCTCCACAGCCTTTTCTTCCAGACTGTCCACAAGGCTTACTTAATCTCACAAATCATTCCACATATTAGTTTTGAACCCCTACTAAAACCAGCTTTGGTAACTAGGAGTCAGTCCCTCATCCTCTAAGACTTCACAGCCTATGTACAAGGGACAGTAGTAGTTGCACAATAACACACCCCAACAAGTACTGCATTAAAGGTAGGCTGGGAGTGCAACTCACAACTCCTGTCCCCATATGTGTTGGCTGAGGGGTGATTCAGTAAGCCCTACCCTAGCTCAAGCTCACCAGGCAGGAGGGAATGGATGATGGACTTGGGTCCACCAGGTTAGGAGACCAAGGTAAAGAGAAAAGAAAAAGTCTGGTAGGGAAAGGGTGGCTCATAGGTCAGTGAAGACATCTAACTAAGCAGAGAAAATGTCAGGGCTGGAAACTGGGTGGGAATTGAAGAAAAGATCTTCAGCCTCCTGTGCCTTCAGGATCAAAGGCCACCATGGGCTTTGGGTTTCTAGTTTCCTGCCTGCAAAGAGGTTTCCAGTAATTTTTTTGGGAGGCTGAACCAAATCTAGGCTCTGGTCCTTCCCTGAGCAAAATAAATTGAGAAAAGAGATTACCACTTGTGTGCCTAGTGTCTAGGACCTTTGAGGCCCACTGGTCCCTCTCCCTAGGGGTAGCTTTGAGTCTGCACCAATCTGATAGAACCTAGTGCTAGTCCTTAGGGCATGAGGAGCCTGAAGACAGGGTTCTAGGTTAGCCGACTGCTGAGCTGCCCACGACTGCCTACATATCGGTGGTTCAAATGGGTCAGGGTGGATACAAAATTGATAAACGGTGCTAAAGGCTCTACGTGGGGACATGCCAGTAGTCTGGGTGCTGTTTATCCAAGGAAGTGGGAATGTGGGGATGAGAATTACACATGGGTGAGGGCTTCAAGGACAAAGGCTGACAGAGATATATAAATTGAAGGCTGTGCTATAAAAACCTGAGGATCAGCCTCTTTTCTGGAAATGGGAGAAAGCTGCAACTGTCCTCTCTGGCTTCGAGTACCATTCACAGCACAGAGCCCAGTGCTAGCATAGAAGGGTCCCAGTAAACCTGTGAACCCACAATTTGTGAGTTAGGTTGGTTAGCTGTCAAAGCTACACTTGCACACCCAAGACCTCAGCATAAGACCAGGCGTGATGGTGCACACCTTTAATCCCAGTACTTGGGAGGCAGAGGTAGGCGGATCTCTGTGAGTTCAAGGCCAGCCTGGTCTACATAGGGAGTTCCAGGCCAGCCAGTGCTACATAGTGAGACCCTGTCTCAAAAAACTAACAACAAAAAACCCCCAAGACCTCAGCATGGATTTAGGACAGGGCTACTTTTTTTGGCTATACCCCAGCAACCCAATTCCCCAGGTCAGGTCACTGCCTCAGTTTTCCCTCCTGACATCACCCAAGGAGATGGTTCTATAGCACCCTCTCCTGACAAAGCACAGGCTGCTTTCCTGCTTCCATGGCAACCTCAATTCCCTCAACTTCCCCAGGGCTCTCAAGAGGAGGTGGATACCTCAACTGCTTCCAGCCTTGGGTAGAGAATTGAGACTCCTGGGTTCCATTCCCAGATCCCCCACTGTCTAAGGATGGAAGAGCATAAATTCTCATGCTTCTGTGGATAATTAGGATAATTACAGCAACAATCATGGTGATGAATAAATAATAAACATAAGCATAACAGTTTTGATGCCTGTCACATCACCAGGAGATTCCTGGTGACAGATGACTGTATTCTAATGAGTTTGGCTATTAAAGAGCACACTGTTTTAATGAGTTAAGGCTAAATTAATCTGGGTAATAAAAATAATTGTTATTAGTAGTAATTTATTAGCAAAGATAATGAAATGCACATGTAATAATAAATACTACTAGGCTTAGAGCCCAGGGAACAATGTAGAAGTTGGCTGCTTGCTTTTAGCTCTTCTCTGGTAGTTTAAAGCCCCATCAAGACTTAATTTTTTTTTTCCTTCACCATCTAAAAGCTTTCATAAATGTGGCTTTGGTGAGATAGGGTCTTCTTATCCATTTTTCTAGGCATAAACTGAAGCTTTTGATAAACAGGGGGGAGCAGTCATTTTATTTCCTCCCATCTTTAAATTTTTTTATTACATTTATTTATTTGGGGCAGGGGTACACGTATGACATAGTGTTCACGTGGAAATCAGAGGACAGTTTGCAGGAATCAGTTCTCTCCTCCCACCATGTGAGTCCTAGGGATTGAACTCAGGGCATCCGGTTTAAAAGTAAACATCTTTACCTGCTAGGTTATCTCACCAGCCCCTCCTCGTACCTTTTTAACTGGACCTTGAGTTTTCTAGGTTGTGACCCACACAGAGTTCCATCCCAGGCTGGGGATGAGGTTGAGAGGAGAGAAGGGTCTGGAAGGATGCTGGGTTTATGGAGGGCTGCATACAAATGTGTTGGGCCCTCTTCCTTGCAGCATTACTACTGAGTCAGCAGTTTTGGCACAGATGATCTGCAGTTATGCTTCCAACCTTAGAGAGAGGACAAGCCCCTCCCAGTGTGGTTTAGGTTCAGTCAAGACATCAGTCCTGGGTTAGGGGGAACGGACAGCTGCCTTCGGGAAAGGAGCTGCCTTCAGGAAAAGAGGGGCTGTGAAAAAGCTAAGAGAGAACGTGGTTCTCTGCAGCCCTCCTCACTGCAAACCACAATCCAGGAAATGCTCCTCTCCTGTTCTTTATTCAAGTTATCTTTGAGAGGCCCCAAGTCCTAAGGCTTAGCCTTCCTATTGCCCCAGGAATGTCCCCAAGTAATACAGCTACCAGGTCCCTCCTCCCAATGTCTTGAGATTGTAGTCAGAGCCTCCAAAGGTTAGCAGGTTTTAAACCCCAATGCTAGTGCTCCCTCTGACCCATCATTCTCCCTGCCCTTCCCATCCTCCTTTAAGATAAGGACCAGCAAGTTTGTCAAATCAGACTGACTGAGGATCACAAAGGATGTGATTCCTTGCTTCTCTCTGCCACCCTGGGATGAGATAAGAGCTGGAAGTCCTCTAGCCAGGGCAATAGTCACAGGGATATGCCCATAACTCCCTACAGCCTTGGGCACCCTGGCCAATCTAAGCCTTGGGAGGGAAAAGAACTACATGGCCCAGTGTGGTAGTGTGAGAGACTCTGGGATGAGCTCTGGACAAGAACAAAGGCCCAACTGTGGCTATGGGATGGTTCCTTATAGCACTCTGCTATTGTTCCAGCTGCCTGACATATGGGCCTGAGCTGCATTCTTTGTCCATCTGTTGACATAGGAGCAGGTGGGTGTGACAAATGAAAGGCACCATTACTATTGAAATAGAGAGGATGGAATGCAGAGGAGAGAGAAGGTTCTCCATCTGAATAAGCACAAGGCAGCCCTCTGCAAGGAAGGACTTCCAAGGCAGGGTCATTTTGGAGGGACTGAGGTAGGCAGCAGGCAGATGGTAAGACCTGCAGGGGCTATGGAGGAAGACTTCATCTATACCCCAAATTCAGGCCCAGATGAGTCCTATCCTAGAACCCTGTGTTTGGCTCCCAAACATGTTATGAATGAGTGGAAGTGGGAGGGGTGGGATGACAGGGAGAAACAGGCCAAGGTCCTGAAAGCTGGGCTTTAGGGTCTCCAGATCCTCACCAAGTGGCTGCCTTACCTCCCTCCCCTTTTACACCGCCCCACTCCCCATCCCCACATCCCCGGCCCTGCCCCCGCAGGTGCGGGCCAGTGCCATTGCCCAGGATGCAGACCAGAACTATGACTATGCCAGCAACAGCGTGATCCTGCACCTGGACGCCGGCGATGAGGTCTTCATCAAACTCGACGGAGGCAAAGCACATGGCGGCAACAGCAACAAATACAGCACTTTCTCCGGCTTCATCATCTACTCAGATTGAGCCCCTGTGTCCCACTCCATCCTCCGTTCTTTTCTGTGGGTCCCCTCCCAGAAGGGACAAAGAAGAACCCATCCCTACTCATTCCCAAGTTGCCTGGCCCAGGCTGCCAACCCACCCCGGCTGAACCTCCCCTAGCCCACCTCTACCAGCGAGTCCACGTCTAAACCCTCCCACTTGGGAGCACAAAGCCCCTGGTGCTGCAGTTCCGCCCCGGGTGGCAGGTTGCCTTCCTGGTCCCAGCCTGCGCTGTATATTTGTACAATAGGACTGTTTACTGCCCACCCTCTCCTGCCAGTCAGCCCCAGCCTGGGGGGAAATTGGCGGGGTTGCTTCCTGCACTGGGATGAGCTGCTCTCCATCTACTGATGTCCCAGCCTGGGGAGGGGAGGGCTGGGGGCTGGATAGCTTCCCAGGACCCACAGAACCCTGGACCAGCTGCACCCTGTCTGACCAAAGCTATAATAAAAACATTTCCACCCCGTGGGGGATCTCAGTCTGTGCCCTGGGGAAGGCTGCAGGAGACATCTGGACTATGGACTTCTCTAAGATTGGTAAGGAGTATGGTGGAAATTTCTGGAGGAAATCCAAAGGCAGGTTCAGAGCTGCTTTGAAAGGAGGGCCAAAAGGACTGATGATGCTCACTACCACGTGGGCCTAGGAAGCTGGAAAGGGAAGCAATCCACTTACATCTTCTATAGTGGTAAAGTTACATTTTTGCATTGCTGAAATGCATTCCCAAAGCACAAGCAACTTTTAGTCTGAGACCTGGGTTCCTGGTCTTTTGTGGTACCATGTGCAATCTACAAGTCATTCTCTTCAGACTCAATTCTTGGTTGGTGACAGCCATAGAATGGAACAAGCTTTGCACTACAGGCTGGTTGACCTTAGTCCAAGAACTTGACCTCTGGGCCTCAGTTTTTTCATCAGTAAAATGTGGGAGGATTAAAGAGGTGTGATGTATATGCACAAAGTACATAGCTCTAACTAATCCTATGTCATTTTAGTTTACAGAATCCTTTCAGGTGTGTCTTCTTATTCAAGTTAGAGTGAGGTGAATGGGCAGGTTTTATTCTTCCATGGACTTTAAAGTGACATGGTTGCTAAGTTTTGGGGTTGCACTTGAATCAAGTCCTACTAAGCCTCCTTGGCCTGTAGTTGCCTCTCAGCCTCTTAGAATTGCAGAGCCACAACATACATAGTTAGGGCATTCCTAAATAATTATAACTAATATTTAAAAAGACCCACTGTGTCAGACACATAAATATTTTCCTATAGGTATGTGTGAGGTACAAAGTGGATTCATAGGAAGTATTTCTGTGCCCATAGACGCTGTTATTCTATCCATTTTAATGATTTATTTATTTTGAGATAGAGGTTTCACTGTCTTGCCCAGGGAGGTCTTGAATATCTGAGCCCAAGTGATCCTATTCCAGCCTTCCAAGTTAGTTGGAACGACAGATACACTCCATTACACCTGACTGTTTTATACATTTTAGATGAAAAAACTGAGGCTCAGAGAGGTTATGTAACTTACCAAGATCACAGAGCTAGGAAGAGGCAAATGCCAATATCTGAACCAAAGACAGTGCTCTTACCCAGTCCATCATGTTTCTTAAGGAACTGGGATCTTCAAAGCAGAACTTTGACTAGCAGTGGAGGAGCCCAGCCTACCTTTCTAACTCCACCCCAGCCCTACAGAGGCCTGATGCATTTATAAACATCTGTCCTGGGCAGCCCCCATGGAATGAGGCGGAAAGGGGTAAGGTCCCATCTGTCTCCCCAGTCTGGCTCAGCTGGAGAGACAGGAAGGAGGGGTAGCCTCCTTCCTGGCCAGGCCCCATGTATGGACCCTTGTCATGGCTGGCAAACTTGAATAACTTTCTTTATCTTCCCTTCTCTCTCCTAGTTCCCCCCACTGCCAGCTGTGGCCATTTAATAAAATTAGTTTAATGCTTGTTCCTTCCCTGTGGGATCTGGAGATTGAAATCTGCGGGTCCCCACAAACCCAATAAAACCCCTGGCAGGTCTGGCTGGAACTAGAGTCTCCATGGGAAGTGTGATTAGATTAGAAGGCACTCCTCCTGTCCCCCAGTGCTGCCCACAGCTGACTCTGCTTCTTTAATAGTCACATTGGCCTGGAATTGCTCAGCCACCATATTTAGGGGCTTCCACCCTAGTGCCAGAGGCCACAGGGACTGGCCCAGGACCTCTGTCACAATAAAAAGCATGTTAATCATTTGGACAGTGAATGCCTGGCTAGCCGACTGGCTTGCTTTTCTCTCTGGTGACTTGATAATCCTCATGTCATTTTGAGAGATGGGACTGAAATCTCCCATTTTTGCAGATGAGGAAATCACAGAGAGAAGGAAATTCGTGACTTGCCTATGGTCATGCATTTAGTTTGTGGCCCAGCTGGAACTGGACTGAAGCCAAGGAGGTTTTCTACCTTTGCAAAGCTCCAGGAATGTCCAGCAGCTTGTCACTTAGGCAACATCCCAGCTACAACAGAATCTACTAGAAGGTGTCTTCCCCATCAAATAGTGCCTCCCTAAGAATAAAAATCTGTTTTTTTCCTTCAGATGAGAGACAGCTGAGGGCAAGAGCTGTGTCTCCATCATCAGACTGAAGTTTCCTGAAGGCAAGGCTTGTGTCTCTTTGCTCAGACTAGGGCAAAGACTATTTTCTCTTCAGTCAGCTCCTTCAGGGAGGGATGTGTATCTTTGTTTTGAGACAGGGTTGCCCTGTTGCCCCAGCAGACCTGGGTTACTCACTATGTAGACCAAGCTGGCCTCAATCTCACAGAGATATGCCTACCTCTGCCTCTGGAGTGCTGGGATTAAAGGTGTGTGCCACCACACCCTGCAGGAATTATTTTTAAAAGACAAGGTCTTACTATGTATGTAACCCTGACTGGCCTGGAACTTGCTGTGTAGACAAGGCTGCCCTCGAACATACAGAGTGAGTCTGTCTCTGCCTCCTGAAGGCTGTGATTAAAGGACATGCACCACCACACCTGACAGGACAAGAATGTGATTCCTTAGTGCAGAGATGGTGGCTTCCACTAGTGAGTCTGTGAGCAGGCACTAGTTTAGTTTTCTGTTCCTGTAGGCCTTTCTAAGATGAGGTGATAAGTCTTTTCTTTTTTTGTCTTTTTGAGGCAGGGTCTCCCTGTAGCCCCAGCTGGCCTGGAACTCACTACGTAGATCAGGCTGGCCTCAAACACAGAGATCTACCTGCCTCTGCCTCCTGAGCGCTGGATTAAAGGTGTGGGCTACTATGCCCGCAGAGATAGTCTCCACTCTTAAGCTAGGTTTCCTTTACGGCAAATTTTCTCCTTATTCAACTGGGGACTTTCCAAGAACAGCCTGTCTCTCCCAAACCTCCTTAATCAGGGCTTTTTAGGTAGAAATACTCCAGGGGGTAGGGCTGGTTAGGAAGAGGGCTTGACAGGCAGAATGGCAGGGCCACTCTAGGGAATGAAGGGAAGGTTCCCCCCCCCCCCCCGGCCCCAGTTGCTTCCCCTTTAGAAAGATGTGTGATTAATTAAGGAAGAATGTCCCCAACAGGAGGGGAGTGGGGATGGAGGTTTCCCTAGAGCTCACCCACATAGGAATGGCAGACCATCATATATCCAGGCAGCTGCCAGCCCAAACCACTGGTGTCACCCTGGTTTCTGGGGTTATGGGGTCCAAAGGGGACAGTGAGGCCCACTGCTGGGTGCCACCCTAATTGGATGACTTTGCAGGAAGGCCAGACAGGTGTGCTCAGCTCTGCTTCAGCTTCCTACAAACACATCTGCCATGGTGAGGTCTAGGGGTTAATTGGCTCCTGCCTCACTCTTGGTAACCAATATTTCATTTACTGCTCGGAGGGGGAGCTAACCAGACAATCAATCCCGAACAAGCATCTAGGAGGTAAGGGAGCTGGACTGGCATGGGAGTTGCTTCAGGCAGAGTTTGGAGCCCCACAGAAGGAAGGAGGAGGCACATGCCCAGAGAAGATGGCCAACTGCTCAAGGAGCTTCTGGCCCTGGCTAGAGTTCTACTCACCAAAAAAACCTTCTCAGAACCCTCAACGGCTGGGAGAAAAGTCCCAGGGATCCAGAGGCTTCCCTACTCGAGCCTGCCATGCTAGATTCCTTCTGCATTTATTTATCTCTGCGCCCCCGCCCCCAACATAAAGCTGTGGCAGGTTAGATGCTGTTAATAAGGTTATTTTCACAAGTGATGAAGGTATATATGAAAAGTGGAGTTGGAGGTGTGAGCTTCTTGCTCCCAGGTAACAAACCTTAAAATTCTACAAATGAGGTGATAATAAAGTGGAAGTGAAAAGTCTGTACATGTCTGGAACAGGAAGGAACTGGAAGGGTTACTGAGAAATGGCAGCTGGGAGCTGAAAGAGAAAGGGACCAGAGCACTCCCCCATCTCTGCATTTTCAATATGCTACCCAAACACCCCATCTGCCGAAGCTGAGACTCAAAGCCATAAAATAGATGGTGCCCATTCCACAGCTGGAGAAAACAAAGGCCCAGAAAGGAGCCCAAGGTTGCTCAGGACAGAGCTAGAACCGGGGACAGCAGGACCTAGTGGATACACAGGGGATGGAGACAGAAGACCTGGGTTCAGGTCCTAACCCTGCACAATGTTTTTGGAAAAAGACACTTCGTTCCTCTGAGTGTCTTTGTCTCCTCATTTACAAAATGGGGCTAGATAGTGAACATATTCACTTGAAAGGCTGATGTGAGGAAGAACTTATTTTGGAAGTTATAAAGAAAAATTCAAGCGTTACTGCAACCCAAGCCTCCTGAGCCCCATGATTTAGTGTTCTTTGTACTTCAGTGCCTGGGATGGAAATGTTGATCACTGAAAGATGACACCTGGGTTGTTTTCCTACCCTGGTAACAGCTAAGTGAGTGAGGGGTTCTAAGGGGAGGACCTGATATGGGGGACCCAGGAGGCATAGCTAAGTATCCAGAATGAAGCTTCCAGTCTCCATTCTGGACTTTCCCACCCTTCTGTTCTGTGACCTCCCATTTGGGGTGAGAACACAGGGCTCTTCCACAATGTCTTCTCCTGGCTAGGAAAAGGCAAATCCAAAGGCAGAGTCATCCCAAGTCCTCAGGGTAGAAGCCTCTTAGCTCCCTAAGGAAGGAGTCCCAGCCTGGACTAGGAAAACCACCTAGCCGGAGAGTACAGACCTCCCCTGGACTGATCAGCATGGATATGCTAGACCCTTGGCTGATGCAGCTCACTATTCAAAGCCCAGATCCATTGCCTGTTCTTCCACTAAGCTTTCCTGGACTGTCCTAACAGCTTTCTGTCTCCAAGGCAGACTGAGGCCATCCTCCAAAGAGAACATGACACTGCTTGCCATATAAGAACCATCCTACCATAATAGCTGCTATTCCAAACATCTTTCACCCTCTTTAAACTTCTGCGTTTTCTTCCATGGTGGGCAGTTGGGCACTGTGAGGCACTGCCCAGGTCTCCTTCAGGACCGAAAAATGCATTCCCCTACCCACTGGGAGTGCTGCCAGCAGATGGCTCTACCAGTTCTCGGTGGAGATTACCTCTACCAATGTAAGCTGCCTTGCTCCCCATCCTGCCCTCTTCTCAGGACAGCCTGTTCTTACCACTGATTGCTATAATCCCCTTCTCAGAGCTTACTCTGCAGAGTACCAGCCTGTAACACCTACCCTTGATCTTGTTCGTTCAATGGCTCTTTCATCCAGTGCTTATTGAGGACCTATTAAGTCAACCAGCAGCAAGGGCAGGAGATGGAGTGTGAAACTGTCTAATGGATGATCATCTTCGATCTTATGTATTTGCTGGATATTACAAGAGGGAGGCTTCACCAACTTTCCATAAACTTTAGCCAGGTCCGTGGCAGCACATATCTGTAATTCTAGTACTTGGGAGATGGAGATCAGAGGATCAGGAGTTCAAGGCCAGTCTGGTGATATGAGACCCTGTCTCAGAAAACAAAACCCCAAAACATCCACCAACTTTCCTGCACCTGTGCCTCTCCATCTTCTCCTTTCCTCTTATCTATATGGAAAATGCTCTGCATTCTGGTGCCCTCACCAGGGTGACCAACCTGACCTTGTTTGCCTTGACTGCCCCAGTTTTAAAACTGAGAGCCCTGCATTTGGTGAAACCTCTGTTCATGCAAATGGTCTATTGTCCTACCTCCAACTTCTTGGAGACTTTACTTAGTTGATAATCACACTTTTCTTTTGTACTTTTTTCCGTGTGTGTGTGTGTGTGTGTGTGTGTGTGTGTGTGTGTGAGCGAACACATGTGGAAAACAGAGGTCAATCTAGGGTGTCATTCTTCCAGAGTTTTTTAAACTTTTTAAAAAATTGTTATTATTTTTATTTTATGTGTATGTGTGTATTGCCTGCTTATAGGTAAGTGCACCTGTGTCATGCAATACCTGAGGAGGACAGAAGAGGCTGCTAGATACTCTGGGACTGGAGTACTGACAGTTTTTAGCTGCCATGTGGGTGCTGAGATTCGAACCTGGGTCTTCTACAAGAACAACCAGTGTTCTTAACCGCTGAGCCATCTCTCCAGCCCCTCTTCCAGAGTTTTTTTTAAAGACAGACTTATTTACTGGGGTTGGTGATCTCCCATTAGCCCCAGGTCACCTGTTACCACCTCTCTAATGCTGGCATTACAAGTGTGTGCCACCATGCTCTGCTTCTTACCTGGGTGCTGGGGGTTGAACTCAGGTCCTCCTGCTTGCATGGCATGCATTTTTCTGACTGAACCATTTCCCCAGGTCTGATGATCACATAATCATATTTTGGTATTAATCTTCAGCTGTTCATGTTTCGTTAGTTCTTTCCTATATATACTTTAAAAGTATCTTTTAGAGGCTGAAGAGATGGCTCAGCAGTTAAGAGCACTGGCTACTCTTACAGAAGACCCAGGTTCAATTCCTAGCACCCACATGGCAGCTAACAACCATTCATAACTCCAGTTCCAGCGGAATGTTTTTCAGTCCTCATCATACTTGGCTCCTGTACTTGGCCAGACCTTAAGATTTGGTCTGGGGTCCAGCAAGATGGCTCAGCTGGTATAGGTACTTGCCAACCAAGCCTGATAATTTGAATTTGATCCCTGGAACCTACATGGTGAAAGGATAGAAACAACCCCTAAAGATTTCCTTTGACCTCCATGTGTGCTATGGCACACTGGAGCTAGTGCCATTTCACTGAATGTCTAAAAGATGTGCTACTTACATTTTTCTTGTTAAAATTTTCCTTATTATTGTGTGTGATATATGTGTGTGGTCACATGTACCATGATGCACTCTGTGTGAAGGTCAGGGAACAACCTTGGGAAGTCAGTTTTTCACCTTAATGTAGGTTCCAGGGATCAAACTCAAATTGTCAGGCTGGGTTGGCAAGCACCTTTAGCTACTGAACCATCTTTCTGACTTGACCTGCATTATTTATTTCTTTAAAAGTATTTATTTATGGGGGCTGGAGGGATGGCTGGCTGCTCTTGCTGAGGACCTAGGTTCCATTCCCAGCACCCAGATGGTAGCCAACAAATGTCCTTAATTCCAGTTCCATGGGAATCTGACGCCATCTTCTGACCTCCGTGGGCACTGTACAACATGGGTGCACTTACATACCTGCAGACAGTACACTCATACACATAAAATAAAAACAACAAAATATTTTTTAAAATATTATTATGGAACCAGGTGTGGTGGCTCATGCCTTTAATCCCATCACTTAGGAGGCAGAGGCAGGTGAATCTCTGTGAGTTCAAGGCCAGCCTGGTCTACATAGTGAGTTCCAGGCCAGCTGTGACTACAGGGAGACCCTGTCTCAAAAAGATGAAAAAATTAAAATAAAAATATTATTATGGGACTGGAGAGATGGCTCAGCAGTTAAGAGCACTTGCTGTTCTTCTGAAGGACCTGGGTTCAGTTTCTAGCACCCATGTGGTAGCTAACATAGTACACTACATACCTGTAGGTGAAACATTCATAGACATAAAAATAAAATTTTTTATATGAGTGTTTTGTATGCAGTACATGTATGCATGCAATGCCCATGGAGGCCAGAAGCGGGCAGACAGATCCCCTGGAACTGGAGTTAAGGATGGTTGTTAGCCTCCAGTGGGTGCTGGGAACTGAACCTGGATTCAGCAAATGCTCTAAACTACCGAGCTATCTCTCAAGCCCCTCAATCAGCTATGACATGACAACTCCTAGCCTGATGACAATTCTAATGGAGGGAATTCTGCCTTCCTTACATACTCCAGACCTGTTCTCAGTGTCACAGTGGGAACAAACCATGTTTACTGAAAAGTGGAAAGCAACTGACTCCTTATAGTCTTTACTTGTTAGATCCTAATCAGATTCATAAAAAACTATCCCTTTACCAGGGCATGGTGGTACAGGTCTATAATCCAGCACTTAACAGGCAGAGATAGGCAGATCTCTGTGAGATCCAGGCCAGCCTAGTATACATGGTGAGTTCCAGGCTAGCTGTGCCTACAGGGAGACTCTGTCTCAAAAAAACAAAAAGCTATCCCCTTACATAGGAAAGGCAGGATATTTACTTCACTTCATAGATGAGGAAACTGACCTTCAGAGAGCTGAAGTGACACCCACTGTGTCAACACTAGCTAGCCACTCAGTCGGGTCCAGAAACTCAGGCCTCGAGAGCCGAGTGCAAGGTTTTCTCTTCAACTCCTACCTCCAGTGTTGCAGATCAGCATGCAGTTGGCCCACCTGAATCCAAGCAGTAGGTAGCTATGGAGGATGAGGGTCATGAAGTACACTGGCTCAGTTCATTTCCTGACAGTCAAAACCACACAGATGGAACTGCCATTTTTGCCACTGCCAGTTCCCCCCATTTATGGATGTCCCAGAGCAGGAGAGACAGTGGTTGAATATCCCCTCTTGGGTAGGCAGATGCCCATTTATGCCACAGAAGTAAATTTAAAATCCTGTTGAAACTGCCAGGCATGGAGGCACACACTTTTAAACCCATCAGTCGGGAGGCAGAGATAGCAGATCTTTGTAAAATCTAGGCCAGGCTGGTCTATATAGCAGTTCCAGGCCTGCTGGGGCTACAGGGAGACCTTGTCTCAAAAAGACCCCAAAATGGCTCAGCAGTTAAGAGCACTGGCTGCTCTTACATAGGACCCAGGTCCAATTCCCAGCACCCACATGGAGGCTAACAACCGTCCTTAAGCTCTCCAGTTCCAGGGGATTCAACACATTTCTGACTTCAGCTGACATTGCACAATACGGGTACACTTACACACATGCAGGCAATATATTCATACACATAAAATAAAAACAATTAAGTATTTTTAAAGAAATAAATAAATAAAAAGAAGGAACGAAGGGAGGGAGGGAAAAAGAAAAGGATTCAAGTTCTGGAAACTCACAGAAGATGAAATAAAATCTGGAGTTCGATGGTGAAGGGTGCAGGATACTGTGAATGTGTTTGATGACTTTGAGCTGGCTGTACACATATGAAGTCAGGGTGCGAGATGGGGTGTTAGAATATGTGATTAGTATGCACAAGGCCCTGAGATTGCAGACAAAATACTCATACACTTTAAATACAAATAAGCCCCCCGCCAAAAAAAATTTAAAAACAGAGCCGCCCCTCCCAAATCCCTGTCGAATGTCTGGTCGCTGTAACTGGTGCTGAACTCAGTCCAGGAACAGAGATGAGGCGTGGCCCCTTGTAACCTAGCAAGGTACTGGTTTCTGCCAGTCATTCAAGTCAGTCTAGCCCGAGACAGCCAGGGAAGTCCAGCAAAGCAGGAAGGCGAGTGCGCAAGCGCACTTCGGGCTGTCTTTGTTACTTAGGAAACAGCCAATCAGCGTTCCGGACAGTGACCAATGGGAAGCACGAATGAGCAGATGGGCTCATTTGAACAAGCGGCGCGGCGCCGGAAGGATATTGCCGCGGTGGGAGAGGGTGTGAGGCGACCTCTCCTGCCTCAGAGGGCGCCCGTCCGCGGCACAGGGACGCGTGAGCGGCCGGACACCAGCGGCTGGAGCCGACGACCGGTGAGCTTTGGCCCCGGGTGGAGACGGCCCCGTGGGTAAGTTGAGGTCTTGGTACGCAGCCCTAGCTGCGGGGTGCTGCACCCTGAGCCCGGGTTTCTGTTATGCAAGCCGGGTGGGAGGGCACTTCCTCACCCCTTGTGTTTGGAAGATCGGGACCCCTCTGCCCTTCTGCCCAGGACCCAGCTGGGGCCTGTTCATCAGCTCCGGGTCCTCTGAAAGATACACCCGGTAAAGATGCCCCTCCTCGCGTGTGAAGTCGAACTGGTTCTTCCTGCACGCTAGACCTGGAGAGCTGGGGATCCCCCCCCACTTTCCCCGCAACCTCCGGGTTAGAGAATGGGGTATCCATGCTCCTCTCCATACAATGCTACCTAGCTGATTACACAGCTGTGTGTACCAGGGGCTGCAACTTGGTTACTGGAGCACTCCATAAATACTGGCTTGAAGGAAGGCAGGATAGAAAACCAGGCTTCTATTACTGCTTCTAGGATGATGCTCCTCCTTTTAGCTGTGAACCTTTAAGATCTCTAAATGATCTTTTTAGAAGTAGCGTCTAGCCGGGCGTGGTGGCATTAGTCCGTTAGAAACTTGCGGATCTCTGAGATCGAGGCCAGCCTGGTCTACATAGCAAGTTCCAGGCCAGCTGGGGCTACGGCTCTCAAACAAAAAAGGTAGAGCCTTTCTGTGCCAAAGCACTTGGGTTCTGGGCACCATGGGAAGTGCTGTATATCATATAATTTTGTTAGCAGTGTCTGATACTTGTTGAGTATTTAAATGAACTCAAATTCCAGGTTTGAATGAATTCATTTAATCCTCACAATAATCTCATGGGGAAGATACTAATAATGCTTACAGTTTACAGATTTAGACATTGAGGCACAGAGAACTTAAGCCTGGCTCGGGAGAGGGCATCTAGAATTTTATTATTTGAAATGAGCTCAATGTTAGTACCCCCATTTCTTCTGTTGCCTATTTCATTATGAATTCCCCCACACACAGATTTTTCAAGGTGTCTCAATTTCAATTAGTTGGTTTTTATATTATCTAATTTAACTTCATGTTTTTTTTCAGGGTGCTAGCCATAGTACCTTTTTTTGAGACAGGTCTGGTTGGCCTGGAACTTGCTATGTAGCCAAGGCTGACCTCAAACTCAGAGAGCTGCCTGCCTTTCCTTCCCAAGTACTGAGATTAAAGGTGTGCATCACTACACCTGGCTCCTAGTATTTTTTAAAAAAAATAAAAAAATTTTAAAAAAGTAGCATACTGTTAGAGATATTTGTAAACTTCTCTCTACTATGAAGACAGAGCAAATGTAAGCAATTATAATACTGTACAAAATACATTCTCTATCCACAAGCAATTAAATTATAAATAAAAGCCAGGCATGATGGTGCATGCCTATAATCCCAGCACTAGACAGGCTGAGGCAGGCAGATCTCTGAGTTCAAGAGTAACCATAAGGAGCCTGTCTCTCTTTTTTTAAATTTTATTTATTTGTTATTATTATTTTTTTTATTTTTTTGGTCTTTTTGAGACAGGGTTTCCCAGTAGCCCTAGCTGGCCTGGAACTCACTATGTAGACCAGGCTGGCCTTGAAGTCACAGAGATCCTCCTGCCTCTGCCTCCCAAGTGCTGGGATTAAAGGTGTGCGCCACCATGCCCAGCTCTTATTATTATTATTTTTATTTTATTTTTTATTTTATGTGTATGTATGTATTGCACCCATGTCATGCAATGCCAGCGGAGGTCAGAAGAGGCTGTCAGATCCCCTGGGACTGGAGTTATGGACAGTTGTTAGCTGCCATGTGGGTACTAGGATTTGAACCTGGGTCTTCTGCAAGAACAACCAGTGTTCTTAACCGCTGAGCCATCTCTCCAGCCCCAGGAGCCTATGTCTTAAAACAAAAATAAGCCTGGTCATGGTGCCTTTAATCCCAGTACTTGGGAGGCAGAGGCAGGTGGATCTCCGTGAGTTCGAGGCTAGCCTGGTCTACATAGTGAGTTCCAGGACAGCTGGGGCTGCAGGCAGACCCTGCCTCAAAAATACCAAAAACCCCCAAAACAAAAATAAAACTACACTCACAATGCAAATAAATAGAAATGAAAATTAAATCCATATTTGTAAATTTAAAAAATATATTGAACTTGGGGGCTGGAAAGATGGCTCAGTGGTTAAGAGCACTGACTGCTCTTGCAGAGGACCCATGTTCGAGTCCCAGCACCCACATGGCAGCTACGAACCATCCTTAACTCCAGTCCCAGAGGACTCCAAAGCCCTCTTCTGACCTCCACGGCATTACACGATATGGGTGCACTCACATACATGCAGGCAATACACTCATACACATAAGATAATAATAATAAAAAAATATATAATATATATATTGAACTCAGCCAATGGGGCTGGAGAGATGGCTCAACAGTTAAGAACACTGGGTGTTCTTGCAGAAGACCCAGGTTTGAATCTTAACACCCACATGGCAGCTAACAACTGTCCATAACTCCAGTTCCAGGGGATCTGAGTCTCTTCTGTCCTCCACGGGCATTGCACGACATGGGTGCGCTTACCTACATCCAGGCAATACACGCGTACACATAAAATAAAAATGATAAATAAAATTAAAAAATATATATACTGAACTCAGTCAAATAGGATAGCATAATTATTAAAAGATGATTAGCACCGGGCGTGGTGGCACACGCCTTTAATCCTAGCATTTGGTAGGCAGAGGCAGGCAGATCTTTGTGAGTTTGAGGCCAGCCTGGTCTTCATAGTAAGTTCCAGGACAGCTGGGGCTCGAAAAGACAAAAAAAAAATAATAATAATAATTAGCATGGAATTGAGGGTGTGGCGTAATGTCAGACATTTGCCTAGCATATATGAGGTCCTGAACTCAATCCTCAGCAGCTGCCCTACTCCCCCACAAAAGAAATTGTGGAACTTGAGGAGGTCGAATTAGTTTAAAATTTACCTTCACACAACTGAAAAAAAAAAAATCCTAGCAAACTCCATCAGAAATTTATAGTCGGTTAGAAAATCAAATGTTTCTAGTCTATCTTATGACTTCAGATTTTATCTTACATGATGAAAACTACAAGTCAATCTCTTACAAATGTAGTTGTAAAATTTCATATAAAACATTGGCAGTTATAAACCAGCATGTTCAGTGTCCTGAGTTCAATTCCCAGCATTGCTGGCATCAAGTCAAAACTGGGCTACACAGTGAGACCCTGTCTCAAATATCAAACAGAAACAACAAGGAAAAAGAGAAACAAACAGAACTATTAGCAGTTACAGTTCAGTGCCAGAGTACTTGCTTGGTATGTACAAGCTCCAGTTCAATCTCCAGCCCTGGGGTAGAGGGAATTATAGCCTGTGATTATCTATTTAAGAAACAATCCATGTATAGGAGGAACCAGTTATTATAACACACTGTTCAGTGGATACCGTAGAGGTGGGCAAAGCCCAGAAATTAGGAGTGGGGGAGGCAGTAAAATTATCTCAAGGGCAGAACAGCCCAAGAATCTAGCAGTGCCTCTGAATGAGCGGCCTTGCTCTGTGATGGGTTAAGTTCTTCCTGTCTCCACTTTACCTTTGGAGAATAGGAATGTAACAATTATCAATATTCACATACTAAAATTGTTAGGAAAGCTAAACCAAAATATTTGTAAAGCATTTAGCATAGAGCACTTAGCACACAGACCCATATACTCAGTAAAACACTCAGTAAATGTTAGCTATAATGATAATTATTTTTAGGCTTTTGGGTTCAGCCCTTGCCCTTCTCTACACCTTATTCATTCATAGGACCAATATTATTCATTATGTGCTGCATGCTGTGCCTGGTACCTAGGTTTTTGGCGTTACACAGGTGATGGCCAAAGAGGGTCTTGCTCCCTTGGAGTTTAGGGAGAAGACACAGTGTCTTGAGTGATGATAAAAAGCAATGAAGGGGCTACAGCTGCCTCTAACAGTATCCAAGGACTGGACTCCTTTCCTCCCTTCCTTAGTTCCTATTATCCCCAGGAGGATCCTCTCAAGTCCTCAGAAATTCTCCACGTGTTTCTAAAGAGCTTCTGCTTGTTGAGCTCATCCCCTACAAGGGTGGGTAGAAGAGACCACCCCCAAAACATCTGAATCTTGGCTTCCTAGCCCCAGCTCAGCACACTAGCCTCTGGGTTTTAATGAGCTGCCCAGGGTTAGAAATAGGACTTGAATGTGGCTGCCTGAGAACCCTGAAGATCTTATTAAAGCATCATCTCCCTTGTACTTTGGGCTCAAATGCTCTTTCCAAGCGGGGATCAAAGCAAGCTTGACAAACGTTCTCTCATTAATCTCCCCATCCCCCTGGGGTGGGAGCAGATTGGTAGCTGTTCTCTCTGGCTCTCAAAGAGGGATACTGATGTGACATTGACAGGTTGTGGCTCAGGGAAAGACCTCCCCACTAGTCAGATGTCGAACAGAGACCAGGACCTAGGCGCCTAAGGGCGTCCATGTCAGGTGTCACCCTGCATTCTGTACCCGGTGCCCCCAGCACTGTCTTGAGAAGAAGGAAAACATCTCATTAGGCAAACAGACTCGGCCTCTCTGGCCCTCAGGAGGCGGGAGGAGAGAACTGTAAAGGTTATGCTCAGTCTTTGCCAGTGCCCTTTTTAATTTCCTGCTTAGAATGTTGGGCCTCTCTATGGCTCCTCCTCAGCCAGAACCCTCCCTGCAGGCAGCTGGGACTGCCAGGAAGGCAGCCAGGGTAGACCCAGCAACCCTCTTCTCCCATAGAAAAGCAAATTTCCTGGGGGTGTGAGTGTAAAAATGAAAAAGGAACTCTGAGTGTTGAAAATTAGGTACAGTCTATATATCTGCAAGTGTTTGCAAAATATGTAATATAGTTCCATAAAAGCATTATAATCATTATACAAACATAAGGGACTAGTCAAACCATGTGATCGTCAGAGCATACTATATAATATCATTATCAGGCAGGATAGCGGGCGCTGCGGTCAGGCTGCCTGGGTTGGAACTGGGGCACCATCACTC